AGCGCCGATGGTACTTGGACCGAAGGGTCCTGGGAGAGTAGGACGTTGCCAAGCGCAAACCCTTATGGGTTTCAAAAGAATAATTCCCATACACGATATGGGCCCTTAGCTCAGTTGGTTAGAGCGGTCGGCTCATAACCGACTGGTCGGGGGTTCGAGTCCCTCAGGGCCCACCATATAGCCATATGCAAGAAACAGCATGCCGGGGTGGCGGAATTGGCAGACGCACAGGACTTAAAATCCTGCGGTAGGTGACTACCGTACCGGTTCGAGCCCGGTCCTCGGCATTGGATTGGAACAAGTTGAACAGGGTAAGCTGGTCCGGATCGGGGCCGGCTTATTTTTTTAGCTGCCGTTCAATGCGGTCTGACTTTCATTGAATGTGCGTCGGCAGACGTTTTTCGATAAAAATAGGTTTATATATTTACGAGAGAGGAGAAATGCTTCATGATATTTAATAACGATTGGGACGAGCAGCTGAAGGAAGAAACCGAAAAGGACTATTTTCAGGAACTCCGTTATAAGCTGGCCAAGGAATACAAGCTTCACAAAGTGTATCCGCCGAAAGAAGACCTCTTTAAAGCGCTCAAGCTGACTTCATATGAGGATACCAAAGTGGTCATTTTGGGACAGGATCCTTATCATGGACCCGGACAGGCCCACGGCCTTAGCTTTTCGGTCAAACCCGGCGTGCGGATTCCGCCTTCCCTCGTGAACATTTACAAAGAGCTGCACAGCGATCTGGGCGTGCCGATTCCAAACCATGGAACGCTGGTGCATTGGGCCGAGCAAGGGGTGCTGCTGCTCAATACGGTGCTGACCGTCCGGGATGGCGAGGCAAATTCGCATAAAGGATTAGGATGGGAGCGATTTACCGATGCTGTCATTGAGAAGCTGAATGAGCGGGATAAGCCGGTCGTGTTCATTCTTTGGGGAAGCCATGCCCAGAAAAAAGGAGCTTTTATCGATCGGAAAAAGCATCTGGTGATCCAGTCGGTTCACCCGAGTCCGCTGTCGGTGCACCGCGGTTTTTTTGGAAGCAGGCCGTTTTCCAAAGCCAACGCGTTTTTAGCAGCCCATGGAATCAAGCCTGTCGATTGGGCGATTCCTGACCGGTAACTCATTTTCATGCGAAAGGAGGCGAAAGGGCCATGAAGAACTGGATCGGCAGGCGGGTTACTATCCTATGCAACGACAAGCTGCATTCCCGGGTCAAGGGGACGCTTCGCAAGTGGGATGAACATAACGAATGGCTCGTGCTCGGGCCGCACGACCTGAAGCTGCCGTTTGGCGAGGTTTGTACGATCCGGCTTCTTCCCGAAGGTAAAAATGCCCCTGACGCCGCGCCTCATTCGGTCGGATATATCATGAAGGACAAACGGCAGTTCGATAACGCCGTGTTGTTCGGGTCTGAGGTCATGATCTGGCGGAAGGACCGTCTGGAAGCATACAGGGCCACCCTGAGCTCGCATAATGCGGAGACGGTGACCCTTTCGGACGGCCGGACTTTCCGGAAAGCGGATTGCACTTGCGTTGTCCGGTCATTGCGTGGCATGCTGTGAGACATTAGTCTTGCGGCATGTTTTTTTTCCTCACTCTTTCATGTCATCGACCTTTTCCGCCAAAAACAGCCCATACCCCCGGACGATAATGATCTTGGCGATCATATAGACGGGAATGGCCAAAATGACGCCGACGATCCCGGATACGTCTCCGCCGATCAGCAGCAGGACGATGGCCGTCATCGGATGAATGTCCAGCTGCTTGCCGTAAATAATCGGCGTAAGCAGATTATCCTGGATCTGCTGGGAGATGATGATCACGACGAGCGACCATACGGCAACGGAAGGCGAATCGATAAAACCGATGATAACGACCGGAATGGCAGCGATGATCGCACCTACGTATGGAATCAGGTTCAGGACGATCGAGATCAGCGCGAGCAGGAGAGAGTACGGAAGCCCGATAATGAGGAAGCCGATGTACATCAGCACGCCTAGAATGAGATTCAGCACGACCCTGCCGACGATAAAGTTGCTGAGCGCCGTATCGATTTCCCGCAGCGCTTCTTTCCCTTCCTTCCGGTATTTCCGCGGAAGGATATGCAAAATTTTAGGGGGAAGCTTGCTGCTTTCTTTCAGCATGTAATACAGCACGATCGGAACGGTAGCAATAATGACCACGACGTTGGATACGACGGATATAAAATTGGAGATCGAATCTGTAACGGCCATAATCAGACCGTTGAGATATTCACTCACGCGGGCATAAATTTCCGACTCGCTTGGCAGCGCTTTGGCGAAAAAGCTGTTTTTCTGAAGAGCCTCAAACTGCTTCTGCAAATCTTCCACGAAATAAGGCGCGTTTTCGGCAAAAGTGATCACCTGCTCGCGCAGCGTTGGCCATACCAGCACCGAAAACAGGGCGATCAGACCAACGAACATGAGGTAGATCGACAAAATCGAAAGCGATCTTTTCCAGTGGTGCTTTTCCAGGTAATTCACGATGGGCCTCAGCAAATAATACATGAAACCGGCCAGCATCACCGGAACCAGCAGCAGCTTGAACAGCAGCACGATCGGATTGAAAATAAACTTTACTTTGGCACCCAAATAAATAATTAAAAGCGCCGCGATGATACCCAGACATGTACGAAAATATTTGCTCTGCAGCAATCAAATCCCCCCAGCCTTCATGGACCAGCCTATGTAACGGTCTGTTTCCTCTTTTACAACCCATTAACCAAATGTCATAAGGATGATTCAGGGAGCTCCTGCCATCGCTTCTGGATGGGGTAACCGTTTGAGGCAATCCGGGTATTCGTACAGTCAAACCGCAGGTGAACTACATAATATAGGTTGACCCCATGAAAAAGGAGGTTCAAACCTATGAGCGGAGTCGTAGGCGGCGTTGGTTATCCAGGCGGAGTTTTCAAATCGACGGGAGCGATCTTGGTCCTTTTCATCCTCTTGGTCATTATTCTGAGTTCGTGTTTTTATTAAGTCGGAACACAGGAGCATCCTGGCGGATCATCTTGCCGGGATGTTTTTTTATGCCCGCGTTAGTTTACCTAATTACATAAAGTCATTTAACCTGGGAGGGATTGAGGATGAACCAACTCGTGATCGCATTGTTCCGGACGAGACAGGATACGGCGCTGGCGGTCAGCG